GCATTCCTGTAGAAAGGTGAAAATATTTCTGTTCCCATTCGCTTTTGGCGGTTCGTGTTTTGGGTGGGGGGAGGTTTTTGTTCTTTCACTGACTGGAATATTCTTAGCTGTAAATCCTTTGTGTGTTGCGATTTTATTTGTGATCTTTTTACTTTGTACACTGCTTTGAAACTTTGAAAGAGTTGTTTTTCTCTTTTAAGAGCGAGTTATGACTTCTGTAAGAAACAATAACTCTCCTCTCCCTTATACTAACTATTGAAGGACTCTGATTGGATTGTATCATTTTGGCGACACGATGCCCATTTTAAAATGTGGCGCTAAACTTTTTGCATTGGTTTTTTCAAATGCATTAATCTGGTTTTACGCTTGCTGCTCCTGGCCCCTTTTGATGTGCCAGTGTTGCCTTCGGTTGTGAATTCTATTCCCTCGATTGTAAGCCACTTTAAAAGTTTTAGGATACCCGAGGCAGGAGTAGGAATAGATGTTTTTGCCCATGTCCAACAGGGAGTGACTTACTGCGGAGACAGTTCGGCCAGCAGCCTCACCATGGCCAACGTCCCCTGGCACGAGGAGGTGGTGCACTTCGTCCAGGAGTTGACGGACCTCCTCCCGGACTATGAAATTGCCTGTGAGCACGAGCACTCCAACTGCCTCCTGATTGCCCACAAGAAGGTAGGGGACTGCATCTGCCCAGCACACCAACAGCAACATTATCGCATTCTGAGTTTCCATGCAGAAAATGCAATGGATTTAATACTGGGGACATGGCAGCTTTCATTTATTTTTTTAAAAATAAGTTGCTAGTCCTGGAGAGCCAGTTTGGTGTAGTGGTTAAGTGCGCGGACTCTAATCTGGGAGGACCGGGTTTGATTCCCCACTCCTCCACTTGCACCTGGCTGGATGACCTCGGGCAAGCCGTAGTTCTGACAAGAGCTGTCCTTGAAAAGAGCAGTTTCTGTCAGAGCTCTCTCAGCCCCACCTACCTCACAGGGTGCCTGTTGTGGGGAGGGGAATAGAAAGGAGTTTGTAAGGCGCTCTGGGACTCCTTTGGGTACTGAAGGGCGGGGTATAAATCCAAGCTCTTCTTCTTATGGATTGAAAAGGTGGGTGAAATGCTGGTGGAGGAGGTCTTGGCAGGATTTTTTGGGGGGTGTGCGTGGATAGTATTCATGTTGACTTCTGGTTCATGGTTGACTTCTGGCGACCCCTAGTGGGACTTGGACGTTTCAGAGAGGTGGCTTACCATTGCCTGCCTCTGCGTCCCAGCCCCGGTATTCCTTGGAAGTCTCCCATCCAAGCACTTGCCAGCATCGTCCCTACTTAGCTTCTGAGATCTGACGAGATCGGGCTTGCCGGAGCTATCCAGATCAGGGCCGACCCGGCAGGATTTTGAGTGGTCCAGGGTAGGTCTTCCTGTGCCTAGCAGCTCTTCAAACCACCACCACTCCACTTCTAGCACGATAAATTTATCAAACAAGCAGGGATATGCAAATCTTTCATTTATAATGGCTGCATGCATGTAGTTCTGCATATAAATAATGCCAAGGTTGTTTCCCACGCAGCTTTTCTCAGTTGCATATAAATGGACATATTTATTCATGTTGTAAGAGCCTTGTTGGATCAGACCAAAGGGCCATCTAATCCAGCATCCTGTTTCCCTCAGTGGCCAAGCAGATGCCCCAGGAGGCCTGCAAGCAAAGCCTCCTTGTTGTTGTTCCCCACTAACTTGTCTTTGGAGGTACGCTGCTTCTGAGCGTGGAGGTTTCACTGAGCTGCTGTGCCCAAGAATGGAAGTTGTGTCATCTCATTTTAACTTGCTCGGTGCCCTTGCTCAGCCTGTCCTACCTCCCAGGGTGGTTGTGTGGATAAAATAGAAGAAGGGAGAATTTTATAGGCCACGTTGGCCCCCATTGGGGAAAAAGTGGGGGTATCAATGAGTTAAAGAAGAACACTAGATGTTAGTTGTTGTAGATTTTCCGGGTTGTGTGGCCGTGGTCTTGGCATTGTAGAACCTGATGTTTCGCCAGTAACCGGGACTGGCATCCTCAGAGGTATAACACAGAAAGATGGAGTACTCTCTGTGTCAAGGGGTATTCCATCTTTCTGTGTTATACCTCTGAGGATGCCAGTCCCGGTTACTGGCGAAACATCAGGTTCTACAATGCGAAGACTACGGCCACACAACCTGGAAAGTCTACAGTAACTAATGAACTCTGGCCGTGAAAGCCTTTGACAACCTTATTGAACACTAGATGTTACTTGAATTTAATAAAAATACACAACAGGCAAGTGATGGTCAGATCAGAACTCCCAGGTGTCCTCTCAATCTGGAACACTATTTGGCAACTGGACCTGAGCCAGTTTGGTGCAGTGGTTAAGTGTGTGGACTCTAATCTGGGAGAACCGGGTTTGATTCCCCACTCCTCCACTTGCACCTGGCTGGATGACCTTGGGCAAGCCATAGTTCTGATAAGAGCTGTCCTTGAAAAAGAGCAGTTTCTGTCAAGAGCTCTCTCAGCCCCACCTACCTCACAGGGTGTCTGTTGTGGGGAGGGGAAGGGAAAGGAGTTTGTAAGCCGCTCTGAGACACCTTTGGGTAGTGAAGGGCGGGGTATAAATCCAATCTCTTCTTCTTCTTCTGAGTCCATCTCCAGCGTGTTTTCCATTCGCCCACACTGCCCTTTATCTGTGTGTGTATTAGTCTCTCTCTGTGTGTCGTTTCCCAATTCTTAATTGTTTTGGAGGTCACAACCTTTGCATCTGTTTCCTGTTCAGTTCAAAATCGATGGAGAGTGGCACACATGGATCGACTACGATCGCTTCCAAGATCTGGTCCGCGAGTACGAACGGACAGGGGCAGCGATGACGTTCACCTCAGCAGACTACGCGGCTCAGACTCCCCCGTGGGCAGTGTTTGGGGCCAGAGAACGGGGGTTTGACCCACAAGACACAAGATTTCAACGAAAGAACAAGACGAAGGACATCTCAGGATGTTGACACCTTCAGCCATTAGCCCTTTGGAATGGATCTTGATAGACTCAGTGAGTGCTTCACTTCTTACACCAGCATCCAGACTCTTTGTATTGGATTCACCTGAGCCTTGACAGCCACAGGGGAAATGAACGTGGCTTTATTTCTCTCTTTCTTTGCAAACCCCGAATTGCTTTTTCTTCGATAACTTATTTTTTTTAATCTAGCCAAATGAGAGAGATAAGTAGCGTGCTTGAAAAAAGGCCACATTTTGCCATTCTGAAGGTAACTCTCTAAAATCTTTGTGCTTCTGGTCACCTGGGGCGACTACCACTTCTTGTTCTGGTTGCTGCACGCTTGCAGTCAAGAGGCTTTTTTGAACGCGGAAAGGTTTTCAACATGTAGTTAGTCCTTAGGGTCTGTGGGTATCAGATTCACACATACCTCCTGGAGTTTTTTTGGTTTTTTTAAAGGGGGAGAGTTGCTGCCTCTTAACTTTTCCCAGTTGCAACATCCTAGGATGGCTAGCCCACCACAAAATGTAGCCAGAAGTTTGGCAGAAGGTGCTGTTGCAGCAGAAAATTAGAGCGGAAATCCCCACACCTCTTTTGGATCTGTGCGCTTGGTTCCTCTGGATGGAGACTGGTATTGTGTGCACCCGGCTTAGCTTTTACACCCACGGCAGACTTTGAGAATGTGAGGCAAACCTGCATTTCTGGCACAACGTAGTCTGAGCAACGAGCTCCAGATGACCTCTGGAGTCCCCCTCCCCCCTTTTGAAAAGCCTTATTTGACCCCAGTAGATATAAATTGGAATGTTCTCAACGTCTGAGGGCCTGTCGTACTTACACCAGTTTAACTGCCGGGGGTGGGTGGGTGTCTTTTACTTCACCCTCTTTGGAATCCTGGGAACTGTAGTTTGGTGAGTCTGTGGCTTTATGAAAATCCTTAACTTTTTCATAGCACTGTGGGGCACAGGGCTGCACTTAACAGGAGCCATGCAGTTTGAGTGTGTATTCTGGAGAAACTGAAAGGATCAGAATGAAAGAATCCAAGGTCTCCTACCTGATTTTGCTCCTCCTACTTAGTGCTTCCAACGTTTGGCATCATTGGTACATTTAGATGGATGTTATATGCTCTTTGGGAACGGAGGCTGTTCTTTTTTTCTTTTTTTCAAGTTTCGTTGGCCCCAAATACCAATTCGTCCATACAGTTTGCACGAAGAGATGCCTGATTCATTTAGAGCCATGTATAATTAAAATGGAGCAGTCCCATGTTTCTACTCTCGCCTCCGTGGTTGCTGTCCTGCCATAGCTGTGGGCTCAGGTAAGGATGAAGAATGCTTGGAGCCGGAGGTATTTTGCAGATGTTTCCTGCAGGTGCTCACTGATTCCTTTTCTGGTGATTGGCGACTGTTAAAATAGGGGAAATGTCTTTGCCTGCATATATGGCTATCTAGGGTTGGAGCCTGTATTCATCTGTATTTTTAACATAAATTTTTCTCCAGGATCCAAGAGTGTCACATTGCCATTCCAGATTAAACCCAGCCTGCCTTTTTAAATTACCTTACATTTTTGTTTCTAAATTATTGCCTTAACATTTCAAAAACAGTGTTCCCACTTTAAAATCCTGGTTTATTAGAGTTTCTGGGATATGTCTGTGTCTCACCACCCCCCACCTCCCTTCAGAAATACTTGTTGCTCTGTAGGAAAGAAGAAACATAAGGGAAATAAATGTAATTTGAATTTCAAATCAGCTTTTGTGAATGTTAAGCAAGAAAAAATTGACTTTTTCCTTTAGGGTTCCAAGGCCTGTGCACTATAAACTGGGAGTCAGTCCCATTGAATGGAGCTTAGTTCTGAGCAGACATATATAAGGCCAGGTCTGTTTCCTCGTGGGGTAAGGGCGATATAAAAGCCAAATGAATAAAGAAAAAAACTTTAAAATAAATAATGCTAAAGAAACACAACCTTGGTGTGATTTAACTGCCCGCAACAGGTGAACAAATCTCCCTTATAAATAAAAGCCGAATGGTGGTGGCACTTCTCTAGAACATTCCACACGCTCCAAAATCAGTTCGCTCTCTGATCTGTCTATCAGAGGGTCTTTCCTATCCACTGGCTGCTTTGCCTGAGTCCTGCCTCCAACATTCTAAACATTTTGCTGTTCCTCTCCCCCCCAAAGCCAGTCAGAACACAGGGGTTATTTGCATATGCAGCCTCATTGGCCTCTGCCTCAGAACACAGAGGTCGTTTGCATATGCGACTTGATTGGCTTTTGCCTCTAACATTCTAAACAGTTTGCTGTTCTGAGGTAAAATGTGTCCAATCTCCTGGTGAGGGGTGGAGATCACTCAGAATTCCAACTGCTTTCCAGATGGCAGAGATCAGTTCCCCTGGAGAAAATGGTGGGCTCTGTATCCTTATATGCTGCTGAGGTGGCCCCCATATGACAGCCAATGTGACGTAGCAGTCAGGGCTTCAGAGTACGGGAGAGGCTGCCGGAGTGTGGGGTGTGGAAAGCTGAAGAGTGAGGGGGAAATAAAGGTAGGTTGATGATTGGCTGGGAAGGAGATAGTGTTGCCAACTCCAGGTGGGAAATTCCTGGAGATGTGAGGGATGGAGCCTGGAGAGGGTGAGGTTTCAGGAGGCGTGGGACCTCGGACAGGTACAAAACCATAGACTACCCTCCAAACCAACCATTCCCTTCTGGGGAACCATCGTTGCCAATCTCCAGGTGAGGGCTGGAGATCACTCAAAATTACAACTGTTGTTTAGGTAGCAGAGATCAGTTCTTTTGGAGAAAATGGTGGACTCAGTGTCATTATACCCTGTTGAGGTCGCCACAGCAAATTGACACTGAGTGTCCAAGGCCGGGGCCCCCGCCCAGAGTCTCTTTCTAGAGGCCGTTGTATTTATTTCCACAACGGGCCTTTTTCCTAGTAAAGGTATAATGCATTTTGACGCTCATATGAAAATTGCACACAATTGCTTTTCTGCCCCTGCTGCAAAGAAGCATGTTTCCTACAGAGCTGGGAGAACTGTAAGTGACGTCTAATGAAAAGAAGAAAAGCATTTTCTGCTTTGATCAACACCTGTGAGCAATGCGCTTTTGCTCTTGTGAACAAGAGAGGCCTGCAACACCCATCCTTTGACCCATGGGTCACACTGAAGTAAATGTTTTAAAAATCTATGAAAACTGTTGAAAGTGCACTACGTCAGCACTACAGAGCCCATGACTCGGCAGAAGAGCATCTGCTTTGCACGCAGCAGGTCTCAGGTTCAATTCCCAAGGTCTCCAGTGGAGTGATCCCATGACACTGGTGTTGTGGGAGAGCTCTCTCTGCGCCTGATGTCCTGAAAAGTTACTCCCATTCAGAATAGACAATACTGGGCTAGGTGGAGCAATCATTTGGTACAAGATCACTTCAGGGGTTCATGGAGGTCTCATGGGTAGGGTCAACGGTGTCAGGAACGACCTTTTTCTGGCTAAAACCCTGGAGAGTTGAAGAAGAAACAATACTGGCTCTAACAGACCCAAGGACTCTGACCTTGCATAAGGCAGCTTCATATGTTTGATTGCCAATTAGAATTTTTTAAAGTTGCTCAAGATCAGTTGAAGATACCCCCCCCCCACCATTTCATGGATGCAAAATTAAAGGCAGTCTAATTCCAAGGATTGCCACCTTGCTGTGTTCTGTATGAACTTCCTCTGCAGCTGCTTCTCTTGTGTTGATCTTGGAAGCAACAGGTGTTAGTAAATCGACCAGCATGCTTTTCTAAGCGTGTTAATATTTGCTCTCGTGATGGATCCAGTTCCTCTTGGCTTGTTCCTCCTCATGGTACACCTCCTGGGGCTTTGGCTTCTGTTTTCTGGCCGTGGCTCTCTGGGGCTGCTGCCCAGCAGACTTTGACCACCGAGGTCCTTACTCAGGTTCCACTTCTTCCTGTCACATGGCTTTCAGCAAAATGGCTCTCGGCTCTGAGAAGGTGAGGACCACTGCCCACTAGGGATGCTGGCTGGAGGAAATGAATTCCATCTGCAGCCAGAGGAGTGGAACCTTGGCTTACGTGTGGTGGGAGGGAAAAAGAACTACGTGCAGACAGTGGTGACGAGTATGGATGGCTGAATGTCCCCCTGTTTTCATTTGTGAACTATCAGAAGGCATAAACTCATTAGCCCAAGAGCCACAATGCCATCTCAGACAGGAGGAAAACCAGCAACAAAGCAGTGTATTCTTCATTTACCACCAAAATGACTTAATATTCCTATTTTCAGGGGTCATTTCGTAGAAAAAGAGGTGCAGGAGCTCATTAGCATAACTCATTGGCATAACTTATTTGCATATGCCACACCCCAACATCACCGGAAGTGTGTCAGAGGGCAACACCCACCGCTCAGGCTCCACTGGACTGTTTTGGATTCCTAGCTATTGGGGGGGGGAACATGCAGATCTGTCCTCACAGAGGGAGAGCTTGTACCTGAATAAAACTTGGTCTTAAAGGTGCCACTGGACTATTTTGGATTGGGGGGGCTTGGGGGGGGGCTCTGCAACTTACCTGGCTGCTTCTTGCTCTGACTGAGGGCTGCTGGGAGGAGGGGTGGGGCTTGTTGCATGTGTTCGCCCCCTGGGCTCTTTACTGCCGGAGCTCTGCTCCTGTGCGCTCCTGAAGGAAATGACCCCTGCCTATTTTCCAAAGAGCAGGGCAACGGGGAGGTCATATAACCCTCTCCAGGCCTATTAAACTGTTAACGCAGGTGTTTATATTACTCTTATTTTCTTTTTTGCAGGAGATCTCCAGCCACCACCTGGAGGTTGGCAACCCTACATATGAACTATTGTATGTGTGTTTTACAGCTACATGTTGTAAGCCTCCTTGAGTACTGCAAGGAAGGGAGGTGGCTAAATGTTTAAAATGCATAAAACTTTACCATCTCTCCATTCATCGTTTTGGGATGCTCTCCATGTTAAAAGCTTCCTCCCGTTGTGAGCAATGTTCCCTCTAAGCTGAGTTGGTGTGAGCTAGCTCACAGTTTTTTTAGCCTCTGGCTCACACATTTTTGTCTTGGCTCAGGAAGGATGGCTCCAGAGCAAACTAATTTCTGCAGGAGCCCAATCGCTCGCTCACAGCTTTAAGGCCAGTAGCTCACAAAGTAGAATTTTTGCTTTTGTCCTTGAAAAAGAGCAGTTTCTGTCAGAGCTCTCTCAGGCCCTCTTCCCAATCCTCACAGGGTGTCTGTTGTGGGGAGGAGAAGGGGAAGGAGACTGTAAGCAGCTCTGAGACTCCCTTGGGCAGTGAAGGCCGGGTATAAATCCAATCTCTTCTTCTTCTCTTCTGAAGTCTGAACTGGGGCACTGCCGACAAACCCAGCTCGGTCTCTGGCAAGGTATAACTCCAGGTGGTGGTGCTGGCTGGAGATCTCTGCTATTATACCTGAACTCCAGGTGACAGAGATCAGTTTCCCCTGGAGAAAATGGCTGCTTTGGAAGGTAGACTCTATGGCATTACAGCCCACTGAAGTCCTCCGCCTCCCCAAACCCCGCAGCCTGCCTCTGGCTGCACCCCCAAAAGTTCCAAGTCTTTCCCAACCTGGAGCTGGCGCGGCAACCCTACAGATAACTCACCTCATTGCTGGTCAACGGGATTTACATTTAAATTAAAAAGGTAAAGGTTCCCTTGCTCGAAAGCCAGTCGAGTCCGACTCTAGGGTTGCGGTGCTCATCTCCGTTTCAAAGCCGAAGAGTCAGCGATGTCCGAAAACGTTTCCGTGGTCATGTGGCTGGCATGACTAAACACCAAGGCGCACAGAACGCTGTTACCTTCCCACTGAAGTGGTACCTATTTATCTACTTGCAATTTCTTGCTTTCGAACTGCTAGGTTGGCAGGAGCTGGAACTAGAGACGGGAGCTCACTCCATCCATGCAGCAACTCGGGTCTCGAACTGCTGAACTACTGACCTTCCACAGCCTGCAGTTCAGCGTCTTAACCACTTGAGCCACTGCAGCTCCAACATTTAAATTAAATGTATGCAAATTATGTAACTAAATATATGTAAATACCCAGGAGCTTGTTCAAAGTTCGGAGTAACTAGAATCAGCATTCACATTCTAGGCGCAGAGGTTTGAATATCTCCCTAATCCCATTTTAATACCGGCCTGGAAGTCACACCCATTAATCTTGGAAGGCCTAAAAATCTCAGATTTGTTGGGGAGTGGGGAGTGTTTTTGATCGTATCAAACACCGCTTGAATTTCGTACGCACCATAGCTGGGTTTTAGAATGTTATTAAAGCAGGAGCTTTAATAACCGCTCCGTACTTCCAGACCACGCAGGTCAATCTTCTTATGCGTGTTTACTTCGGAGTAAGTCCTCTCCCGTTGGGTTTGCATCCAACTAAGCGTGCACAGAACTGTGGCCTCCATTTCTAAACGGACACGACAAGCGAGCAAATTCATCTACAGTAAAAACCTGACCTTGCTCGCTCTGCACATGCTCAGAAGCACTGCTCTTGTTTTCAACGCCGGAGTTGCAAACAGACTCTGTAAGAAGAAAATCGGCTCCGCTGGAACGTCACCATAAAGATCAAAGGCCCTTGAGTGAGCGCGGCGTGCTCCTCCAATCCAGCCAATCCGGGCAAAGCGAGAAGGAGGCGGCGCCTAATTTGAATTCTTCCAAGAAGAAGAAAGGATAAACCCTGATTGGAATTGCGTGTTTCTAAGAACCGGTGTAGGTGACTCTCGGGGAGATCTGAGTTCTTGGCTTTCACAGGTGGTGTTACTAGGTAAGCTGTTTATAAAAATATAAATCCGTATGTATGTATAACGAGGGGCGAATTGGATCCTATTCAGTGTAAAGGGGAAGGAGGAGTGTGGATAAATCCTTGAAGGTTGCGCACCGGCT